AACTGAAACTGTATGGTCAAATAACCAACACCTAAATGCAATTTTCAGCAAATAATAAACAACAAATTTACTGCTCAAATGTTTTTGGCCATCATCTAGAGACCCTCATTAGAAATGAATACATAAAAAACAGTTATATCATTCAGACTTCTTCATGTTCCAAATCCTTGTTAATTCAAACTCAGATAGTATGGTTATTAACTAATGGAATTTTGAACTATTTGTTTCAGCCATGGATATAGAGATTTACATGTTAACGAATTTGGTTATAGCTCAGACTCTGCAAGCCTGGAATATCTTACAAAATAGCAACGAATTGCAATAGATTATCCTGGAATTTCTTATAAGGTTCAATTCTTTGCTATTTTGTAAGGAATTGGATTAGTTTGAAATACAGCTACTTTGAAATTCTAAGTAAAAATTCTGTCTGAACTGTGATATGCGTGTGTTAACTCATTCACTTAGATCAAAGTGCCCCCATACTGTAAGAGAACAATAGGCCAACAACTCTAATCTGGTCAATATTGCTTTCCTTTTACAGTAACACATTTTTTGGATGTCACCTTAACCATGGACTATCCTTTTTTCTCCTCATAAAATATGGCTGGTTTTGGGCTACAAGTAGCAGACAGATATTTGTGGTGCTTACATTTGGGCAACTTACTACTTTTCGGGCCACTTTAAAAATAAATTGTGCTACATTTTGAAGAATTCTGCTTTAGATTTTATAAAACCTATCTGGCAAACCAAGGTTCTCACCAGACACGTGCTGTTTACCTGCAGTTTAATTAACAACAATACTATAAATAATGAAAATAGAATTCTGTATTTGTAGCCATACTCGGTTATATAACATCTGGCATATTGTACAAAAATATGTAAACGTTAGATAATTTGAAGTTGCGATTATTTTGTCCCTTGAATTTTGAACTAATGAGATTTTCTGTAATTACATTTTAAATTATTTATAGGCAGTTTTTTCAGAAAAAATGACAATATTAAATGTATAGAGCATACAAAGTATGGTAATAAAATTATATGCATTGAAATCTAATTAAGATGATCATGTTATTACTGTATAAACTTTTATATGTAAACTGCATAACATTGAACATAATCTAAAAATGTTTTATATTCCCAGAAGACAAGCATTTATACAAATGAATAAAATTTTCTGTTATATAAACTGTTGTTTTTCTTTTGTTAAAAGTCTATTTAGTACCAACTTTATATAAAACAATTTAAGAAAATCTAAGCTATGTTTAGAATATAAAATTTTATTCAAGGGGGCTCTATTCAAGCCCAGTGAGCCATCCCCATTCCTATACCATTGCTTGTATCCTTAAAAATATAATTTCAGATTTAATTTTTTATTTTAATTAAAAAATTAAATAAGATTTCATTGATCTATATTTTCATTAAGAACTGTAGTATGTTATTTGAATTAAATTATTTTACTGTTGAATTTAATTAAGTTCCAGTGACAAAAATTAAGTCTTCAAGTCATTCTAACTTCAAAAACATAATTTTAGGATATTTATTCTATGTTAAAATTAACACAATCAATCATTTGTGCAATTTAATTTCCAAATCACCCATACAGAAATTAAGAGCCTTATAAAGCCAGCCTGCAGAAACAAGACACTTTTTTCTTGAAATTGTATATAAAAAAGCCTCTCTTGTGAACAAAAATTTAAGATGTTCCATGTTTGTTTATCTGATTTTATAAAATTGGACATAAACCAATCCTGAATATGAGCAGACAATGGATTTTAGAATTGATCCAAAGCTTAGAAATATTTAATACAGTAGAGCGTCAATTTTCCGAAAGTCAATCATCCGAAAAAATTCCAGTCAGCAAATTTAAATTTTCGTCAGTGCTGTGGCGCTTCAATCTTTGGCTATGTCTTGGGCTACTCAAATATTTTACGTTTTTGATACTAAATTAACTTCTGAAGTATAATTTTTTATTNAAAGTTTATAGTTTTAAAAACATTACCTGAATTTATTAATGTTTGTCAATATTTTTCAGTTTATTCAAACACAAACCATTAAATATCAATGTATGAATAAATGGAATTATACCACTTTCATTTACAACAGCTCATATGTTACTCTATATACCTGTATTGTAAAAATTAATAAACTGATATGAGGAAATAATTTTCTTAAACCCATCCTTTTAAAAAATCCTGCACAAGCAAAACTTTCATCTGGATATGATTCCCAATGAAAGTTTTAATTATCCAAATAAAATTAGAATTGTTCATTTAATGTAAGGTAACTTTTGTTTTAAAAAGAGGTACAAACAAAAATTAATATTTTATCATGTCCATTCATTTTGGAGAATATTATAAGCATTTCCAATGATGTTTCTTTTGTAGTTTTTCTTCAGTCATTTCACACAATGTTATTTATGTAGACAGGTGGGTACTAAAAGGTTCATTATCAATACTCACATGATCATTATGAAAACACTTATGCCATTCATAAACTTGCAATTCTGTAATTACTGTGTTACTGTATGCTTAAAGAAATATGGATATTACTTGCAATGATGATTTTTGAAGCAAAACACAGAATTTGATATTGGTATGTTGCTCAGTTATTGACATTTTCAACTGCAGCATTACTAAATATATCATAAACAAATTGTTAGTATTCCACATGAACTGATATCAATATCTCAACATGAGATGATAATGTATTGAAAACCCTTGAAACTGAAATATCTCCCAGATAAATTTTCATTTCCACAGTTGTGGATAATTCCAAGAAGTTGGGGCACTCCGATTGTCAAAGCTGTTGGCGTGAATTTTTTCCCACTTCCATACTTAGTCTAATTTTTCAAGTAATGAAGAATTTTGAATTATTTTCGACTAAAAGGAATAATATTAAGCTTCTTATTTTATTGTTATTGATTGCTGGAATAGAACCAAATCCCGGTCCCTTACAGAAAACTCCAACAAAGAGAGGAAGACCACCACTTACTCGTCAAAACTTGCTGACTGATAGTATCAAACCATTGGAACCAGATTCAAATCTTATCACTGATTATACTGAACCTAGAAGAGCCGAATCATCATTTCAAACAGGTGAGCTAATTAATTTAACTTCCTCACAAGAACAATTACCTGCGGAACAAATAGACATTTCAACAGCAGAATTATGGAAGAAGATAGTCGAACTGATAACTAATAGTAATGATAAGCTGGTGAGTCAATTTTCACTTATAAGACAAGAAATTAATATAATTCAAAATGAAATTAAAGAATTTAAAGATCAAATTCGACAAATAAGGATAAGAAATGATAAAATAGAAAATGAATTTACCAAAGTAAGACTAGAAAATGAATTAACTCAATATAAACTGGATACTATGACAAACACTACAAAATAATAAAATTATAATTTATGATTATATAAATCAACTTAAAAATATTACTAAAAATGAATTAGCAACATTTTTTTTTCTAATACGTTAAAAATAATTTGCAGCGAATCAGAAGATATAGTAAATATATATTCAATACCTAATTCAAATATTCAAATTAAGTGCATAGTATTAAAATCAAATCAACTAAGAAATAGAATCCTTGCAACCTTTAATAAATCGAAATATAATAAGACACTGGGAAATTGGCAAGAAATTAATATGTCAACTGATTTAAATAAAGATTCTCGCAAAAGAAGAAAAAAACTTTTACAATATTTATAGATTTTAAGAAACAAGGATTACAACTAAAACTGCGTGATGACTATCCGATAATTAATCGTCAAAAAATTACGTATAGTTATATTCAAGATCAATTAGTATACGCTGATGATTTTTTGAAGTATTCTCTACAGAAAAACCCAATAACATAATTAATTCAGAGTTAGAATGAACAGGATCAACATATTAAAATTTCAAATATTCTTAACTTATATATCACAAACTGGAACTGCCAAGGCTTAATCCACAAAATAAAAACTGAAGATTTCTTTCAACTACTATATAATACTGATATCTTGGGTATAACTGAAACCTGGCTAGTCACACCAGTTAATGAAATTATAAAAAATAGAATGGAATTTACAATTATATCTTCCAACGCACAGAAACCAATAGGACCTGGGAGACCGCATGGAGGACTTTGTCTAATAGTAAGAAAAAACATTGGTTCCATAAAATTTATACAAAAAGCAACTAATTATATTCTAATCTTATTACAAATTGATAATACTGTAATGAAACATTTATACAAAAAGTTAATTATTATGGTGTTAGTTTACATTCAGCCTGACCAGATAGACTTACTAAATGAAATATTCAAAAATCTTGAAAAATGGAAAAATATCTCTCCACGTGTATTATTATTTGGTGATTTTAACTCCAGAGACTATTCTTTGAACCATTTACGAAGAGATTGTGAAGGACTAAAGAAAATATCATCAAAAATATGAAATTAAAGAACTAATATGTACAAAGCAAAATCAAGACTTTAGAACTAAATTAAACAATCTTACGTTAAATCAAGTGTATTAATGGTTTTTTAATTAAATCGCCAAAGAACTAAAAAATATGTAATAAATTAATAAAACTAAAAATTGTTTTTTTACTGGCCATGTTACTTAAAGTAAAATATTTAAAAGATAAACAATGACAGAATTTACTATTAAATGGTTATTGTAATATTATTGATGATTTTGAAGATGTATATTAAATGATTGATAGATAACAAATGTATATTAATATATCATTGGAAAAATACCCCCTGTAACAAGGCTTAGCCTTAATACAAATAAAAATATTTGATTGATTGATAATTCCAAGAAGTTTTTGAAACCATGATATTAATGGCATTAAAAAAAGTAAATTCAAAATATCAAATTTAGTTACTTTAATAAAACTGTTATGATAGTTTTAATATTAAGACATAGTATAATTTTAATATGTAATAATTTCAAAACATTTTTTTTTTAACAATTGTTTAATTTTTCTCTCGTTGAAATTTCAGGGAGCGTTTACATATAAAGGAACAATGATCGATAAACCTCTTCTCCTCCAAGCACAAAATGTCTTACAAATGGCCAAATTAGTAGAAGGAAAGAATAAGCCGTTCCTCTAGTTTAGTAAGATGAATCTAACTAATAATTTCTGCAAATCTTGAAATTGAATGTGTTTGTACTGTATTTTTTATCAACAATTATTTTCTTTTTTGATATCATTACTTAAATTTTAAATAAGAATTGAGAGTTTTTTCATGCAGTAAAATTTTGATTAAAATTTTTTATTGCATTGCATCTTAATCATGGATTTTTTTAAAAATACTTTTTAATGAATACTGCTGTGAAAGTTTTTCTGTATTCTAAGGATTTGTATATAAAATATATGTATATTTTATAATTTGATAATGGACAGCACGCTAATCGTTTATTACAAAAACTTTTAACATATAAGCGTTAAATTAGACACCTATGTCACTAAATTGACGAGCGCTTTCGACGATATACACTTTCGTCTTCTTCAGGTCATTAGAACCTTTTTTGAATACAAAATTTTTAAAAACATTCCAATCTTAAATAGCAAATTTGGAATGATAGCAACGGTAGAATATAAACAGATATTTAAATAAAAATATGCGCGGTAGAATATAAACAGATATTTAAATAAAAATATGCGCGGTAGAATATAAACAGATATTTAAATAAAAATATGCGCGGTAGAATATAAACAGATATTTAAATAAAAATATGCGCGGTAGAATATAAACAGATATTTAAATAAAAATATGCGCGGTAGAATATAAACAGATATTTAAATAAAAATATGCGCGGTAGAATATAAACAGATATTTAAATAAAAATATGCGCGGTAGAATATAAACAGATATTTAAATAAAAATATGCGCGGTAGAATATAAACAGATATTTAAATAAAAATATGCGCGGTAGAATATAAACAGATATTTAAATAAAAATATGCGCGGTAGAATATAAACAGATATTTAAATAAAAATATGCGCGGTAGAATATAAACAGATATTTAAATAAAAATATGCGCGGTAGAATATAAACAGATATTTAAATAAAAATATGCGCGGTAGAATATAAACAGATATTTAAATAAAAATATGCGCGGTAGAATATAAACAGATATTTAAATAAAAATATGCGCGGTAGAATATAAACAGATATTTAAATAAAAATATGCGCGGTAGAATATAAACAGATATTTAAATAAAAATATGCGCGGTAGAATATAAACAGATATTTAAATAAAAATATGCGCGGTANACGGCTCTCGTATTTGTAAAATCTAAGTGACTCGTATAACATGTAATTCATATAACACGGAATTATCAACAGTGTTATAGGGGGGTCTACTGTATTTTATTCATTGTTATTCGTAAACGTGAGGACGGCACCTAATAACATACGTCTCACGCGATAATTATATAATTCTGTTTACATTTACGAGTTATGTTTACGTGAAATTACTTAAACCTTTTGGTTGTAACGATTTATCAGTAGCTTCGTTAACTGAAGAGGGGTCTGGTTTTATGGGGTAAGGCAATGCAACACGAAAGAGAACTTTCTATGGGAAACTGGACTCTATTTACTGTTATATACGAGAATATCGCGCTCCCATCAATGAGCTAACCAGATGTTTCCCGGGTTTTATTTACGTGTCTAAGATATAAACTGAGGCCAGTTTCCCTTAGAGAGTTTGCCGGAAGGCATTACTCTTTGGTGGATAGCCAATGTGTTAAGTTGCCGTATGCCATTAACCTTAAACCACTCGACAAATGGCGCGCCTCAGTAAATTAATACAGTAGAGCGTCGAATATCCGAAAGTCAATCATCCGAAAGAATTCCAGTCGGCAAATTTAAATTTTCGCCAGAGCTGTGGTGCTTCAATCTTAGGCTATGTCTTGGGCTACTCAAATATTTTACGTTTTTGATACTAAATTAACATCTGAAGTATAATTTTTTATTATTTTTATATTTTTCAATATATTTATTTTGTTTGTACAAAATAAAAAAATAATTTTTAACGATACAATAGTCTTCGTTAGGCTTAACATCGACAAAAATTCAATGCGAAGCGACACGCAACGGAGAAAAATTTCAAAATCGGATACGTTAAACTATTTTTTCGTACGTAAATCAGTTATCCGGAATATCAGTTATCCGGACAACCCCAGTCCCCAATTGATTCGGAAAATCGACGCTCTACTGTATATCAGACTATCATCAACATATTTATTATCAGCTATGCTCTTATTGGGATAGCTGATGATAAATATGTCACATTAATTCATGGTGCTATTGAAATTATGTAATTACGGTGTGTCACAAGAATATCTACATTTAGAAACAATTTAGTGATTCATTTTATTCAAATGCAATAATAGTGATCTCATCATTAGATACCATCAATCCCATCTCCATTTCCTGTCATTAAATACCTAGACTATGTTTTGAAAATCTGAACACAGAAATTATATTTCTCATTGTATTCATTGGGTTCATAGCATACTTTTTCATTTGTACATCAAACTACTAAACTGTTTCTAGTTAATTCTAGTAGTGCAGTTTCTAGTAATTTCAAATGTTTCCAACTAACAGGAGGCAAAACATATGATAAAATCAATTACATGATTTATTCTCATTTTATGCAGCAAAACCAAAGCTAAAATTAAAATCTACAATCCAATGCAATATTTTATCTTAAAAAAATACAAAATTTATTTTTGTTACTGAACATATACAAAAATAAAAGTGAAATTTGTTAATTCTGAGCCATTATTTAATTAAAATAAAATACTGACTCAGAATTACAAAATTGTTACAGCTCTCAGTTTTCATTTTATTGCAAACTATAAATAAACCTTTAATATTCAAAGATCATAAGATAATTATATAGATACAATCTTTTAATAATGATGATCATCAATTTGTCAGGAAACTGAATTACGAAATAAAAATTGAGTTGATATCCTGAGTTATTTGCTGTAATTACGAATTAACATATAGGTTGCAACAATTCATGTCAAGAATTTTCTATAAAACTTCAAATAATCCTACTATTACAAAAGTTTAGTTTTTGGATTGTTGCAACATTAAAATATTAATGTTTAGGATGTTAGAATTTGATTTTCAAGATTATAACTTATACATAATCAAAATATCTGAATTGAAGTAGATAAAACTATAGAATTGTGATTGTTTAAATGTGTAAATAAAAACTTAATTTCACTTATTATCAAATATTTATTTAGGAATCTACCAAAACTTTTTTTGTTATATTCATATGTTGCACAATAAAATTTTAATTAAAATTCAGTTTTCCTTCAAAAAAGATTCACTTCTAATGCATTATTCTGAAGACTTATTTTTTTGTAATAGATTTCAATATTTAACTTTTTTGTACACGTTTTGTTAATGGTGTAATGATTTTTTATCATATGTAACAATAATGTGTAGCTTAAAATTAATTCTTAGTAATAATTTTAATTTTAGGAATAAATTTAACATTTTCTGTTTGTACCTTCATATAGTTTATTTATTCAAATTATTTTTTTTAACCACACCAATCTAACATATTAACAGCTAGTCTAGAGATTTCTATTTACAAATTATGCTAATAAAAGATGGAAAACTTTTAATAAGTTTCTCAATGTATTATGGGCACTCTCATTTAAATGTCACTCTGTCTTTATAAGGGATCTCACCTCTTCGACATTTTTGATCTAATGTTTCCTGTAAAAAAGATAAATACATAGTTTATAAATTAATGCTTATCTTAATTAATATGTAAAATTAAAAATACTTCAGAATAATAAATTTATAAAACAAAAACATTTGATAAGCTTAACATTCCATTCTTGTGTTNGTAATGATTTTTTATCATATGTAACAATAATGTGTAGCTTAAAATTAATTCTTAGTAATAATTTTAATTTTAGGAATAAATTTAACATTTTCTGTTTGTACCTTCATATAGTTTATTTATTCAAATTATTTTTTTTAACCACACCAATCTAACATATTAACAGCTAGTCTAGAGATTTCTATTTACAAATTATGCTAATAAAAGATGGAAAACTTTTAATAAGTTTCTCAATGTATTATGGGCACTCTCATTTAAATGTCACTCTGTCTTTATAAGGGATCTCACCTCTTCGACATTTTTGATCTAATGTTTCCTGTAAAAAAGATAAATACATAGTTTATAAATTAATGCTTATCTTAATTAATATGTAAAATTAAAAATACTTCAGAATAATAAATTTATAAAACAAAAACATTTGATAAGCTTAACATTCCATTCTTGTGTTTAAATTTTGTGAATAGTCAGATAAATTTATATTTTAGTCAGATTTTATGAGATTTATACATTATTAATATTTTAGAATAAATTACATAAATGATAAAAATTTTTGAATTTATATATTATTGATATCTGCATTTGAAACAAATTCTATGCAAATACATATAAAAAAAAAACACATGTAGAAAAACTGGAAACAAATATACCAATACCAAATCTTACACACTTTTCCAGAACTAGTTTAATCAAAACAAACATTTTTGACCCTGTTCATAAAGGATGGAAGGAAGGATATCAGGGACAGTAAAATTTGGAAAAACATTGCGGATAGTAAAAGAATGGTTATGGGATAATGACATCACATTAATTAAGCAGATAAGAGCTGTTTTGTGGAGAAGTGTGTAAGGTGTAGTGGTATTGATAAATGTTAAATATGCTTGAGTAACTATCTCCTTCTCAGCAATGTTAATTATAATAACAAAATAAATAAAATAAAATATGTCCCTATATATGCTACAAAAATTAAATAACATATTTTTACATGCATCTAAATCATAATATAACAACTTATAATCTCCAGTTCCTATTTTATGGATTATTGAAACCCATACATTTTTCTATTTTGTATTTCCATGCTGTTGGTAATGTGTTTGCATCCTTTTCATTTAAACATCAGTTCCTCATTTTACTTTTGTATATCTCTATTTTTTCCATTTCCATCGCTATAGACGGTGAGTGCACCGTTCTTATGATCTTCACTTCATCCCACTTAACTATTGCTCCGTCCGCCTGCGCCATGCTTGCCAATATCGTGCTGCTATTAAGTCCTTTATTAACACTGTATTTGTGCTCTTTTACACGCACTGCAAGGTTTCTTCTGGTCACCCCTACATATTCTTTATCGAATCCTATTTGTTGGTTTTCATATGGGATAGTGTACACCCCCCGCTTGCTCTTCCATTTTTATTTTGTCCTTATCGTTCCTTAATAATCTATATATGTTGGGTGCTCGTTTGTAAATTATCTTTGTGTTTTTGTATTTTCCTAGCTCATCCACAGCTTTTCTTGTTTGTTCATTGTATGTGAACTTGTTGAATGCAGTTGTGTTGTTATCTGTTGTAGTTATAAGAAGTTATGGGAAACAAAAAACTACAAGGCCTCTGATTGTGGACGTTTTGTATCCTAAACTCCTTGCTACCTTTTGTATTCTATCCATTTCCTTGTCATGGTCTTGCACATTGGTGCAGTACAAGAAGGCCCTCTTGATAAGTGCCTTAAATGCAGACAGTTTATATCTATACGGGTCCTTCGACCATGAAGGTATGTATAACAGAGCATGTAAAGGTTTCAAATATACTGCCGTTCGTATACTTCCTAGTTTAAACTCCATGTCAATGTCCAAAAAATGGAGGTTTTTTGGCTTTTTTGTTCCAATTTTAGTTTCAAACCATGGTCATTGTTGTTGATTGCATTTAGGAAATCATTAATCCATTGGTCGTCTTTCCAAATTATCAATACATCATCCACGTACCACTTGTATAATATGATGCTTTCGGAAAAATCTTTGAGGATGTTCTTTTCCAATTTTCTTATTACTAGTTCACATAATAGTCCTGATATAGGACTTCCCATTGGGATCACTTTCTTTTGTTTGTATACTATACTATTCCATTGAATTTAAAAAAGGACTGAAAACAAACTAGGTTTGCCAAATCCTGTAGGTTTTCCAAGTATGTCTCTACCTCTTGATTTTGTTGTACCATGAATTCAATTAATTCGCTGTAGCAAGAGGATAGATTTATAGAGGGGTACAGACTCTCAAAATCCATCACTGTTCCTATTTCATCGTTCATTAAATTTAAGTTTTGTATTTCTTTTACTACTTTGGTTGGATCATGAGTCACATAACCATTATCTTCCATTTTTCCTTTTATGTATTCCTTTAATCTTTTTTCCAGTGTGTACGTTGGTGCGTTACATCTTTCTACCACAGGCATTTCCTTATTTTCTTTGTGCATTTTTGCAAATGCGAATATTCTAGGCATCTGTGGATTGGGGTTATGTGATTTTTTAGGAACGTTAAGACCGACGTTAGTGGTGTTTTTTCAAGTTTTTTTAACTTTCTTATCTGTGATTGCTAATATCTTTTCATCTACAATTTCACAATCTGTTTTTTTAATATATTCCTCCATTGCTTCATTGTAGCGCTTTCTTTCCATAATAACCATTTGTTTGGTTTTATCAGCTTTTGTAAACACTAATTGATTCTTGTTTAACCATTCTTTTGTGTATTTTATCTCTGTTTGCTCTTTTTTGTGTATCTTTTGTATCTTCTTTTCATCGTGTATCATTTTCCATCTTAAATAATCTTTCTCTACATTGCTCAAGTCAATCATCCCCCTCTCCATTTCTGCCATTGAGGTTTGCCATATGTTTCTATTGTTCAGTACATAATTAGGCCTATTCTTTAACATTTCTTTCACCTATTTTGGAACCTCACAATGGTCCCATAAGATATACGGTGCTATATCCTTTTCTTTTTTGTTTGGAGTTTGTTTCTTTAAGATCCAATCCATTTTTCTTTTGTACTTTTTTGTAAAGTGTTTGTACCCTGTCAGCCAGTTTCGCTGTTCTGTTATTGATTTCTTGCAACCAATTTGGATTTTCTTGGTAAATTTCGTTTTCTAATTCAATAAATTCATTCATTATTCCGTGTATTTTGTTGTTTAAAACTTTGATGGATTTGTGTAAACACATTTTTTGGAACCTCTTTTTTAATGTCTCACATTCTTTAGGGATGCTCATCCTTTATATGGATGTCGGAAATACTTGTTGATCCGTGCATGTTTTTTAAAATTTTAACTTGCTTCTATTTTTGACTATTCCCAATGCTATCTTTCTATAAAATCTATATTTGTTGGCTGGTGCCACCATTGAAACTATCTCTCTCCTCCTCGGCAATGTTAATTATAATATATGAACACATCTGAATTCTACTTGCTGAGCTTTTTCTCTTTATTGAAAATAAGGAAAATAAGGAAATGCCTGTGGTAGAAAGATGTAACGCACCAACATACACACTGGAAAAAAGATTAAAGGAATACATAAAAGGAAAAATGGAAGATAATGGTTATGTGACTCATGATCCAACCAAAGTAGTAAAAGAAATACAAAACTTAAATTTAATGAACGATGAAATAGGAACAGTGATGGATTTTGAGAGTCTGTACCCCTCTATAAATCTATCCTCTTGCTACAGCGAATTAATTGAATTCATGGTACAACAAAATCAAGAGGTAGAGACATACTTGGAAAACCTACAGGATTTGGCAAACCTAGTTTGTTTTCAGTCCTTTTTTAAATTCAATGGAATAGTATAGTATACAAACAAAAGAAAGTGATCCCAATGGGAAGTCCTATATCAGGACTATTATGTGAACTAGTAATAAGAAAATTGGAAAAGAACATCCTCAAAGATTTTTCCGAAAGCATCATATTATACAAGTGGTACGTGGATGATGTATTGATAATTTGGAAAGACGACCAATGGATTAATGATTTCCTAAATGCAATCAACAACAATGACCATGGTTTGAAACTAAAATTGGAACAAAAAAGCCAAAAAACCTCCATTTTTTGGACATTGACATGGAGTTTAAACTAGGAAGTATACGAACGGCAGTATATTTGAAACCTTTACATGCTCTGTTATACATACCTTCATGGTCGAAGGACCCGTATAGATATAAACTGTCTGCATTTAAGGCACTTATCAAGAGGGCCTTCTTGTACTGCACCAATGTGCAAGACCATGACAAGGAAATGGATAGAATACAAAAGGTAGCAAGGAGTTTAGGATACAAAACGTCCACAATCAGAGGCCTTGTAGTTTTTTGTTTCCCATAACTTCTTATAACTACAACAGATAACAACACAACTGCATTCAACAAGTTCACATACAATGAACAAACAAGAAAAGCTGTGGATGAGCTAGGAAAATACAAAAACACAAAGATAATTTACAAACGAGCACCCAACATATATAGATTATTAAGGAACGATAAGGACAAAATAAAAATGGAAGAGCAAGCGGGGGGTGTACACTATCCCATATGAAAACCAACAAATAGGATTCGATAAAGAATATGTAGGGGTGACCAGAAGAAACCTTGCAGTGCGTGTAAAAGAGCACAAATACAGTGTTAATAAAGGACTTAATAGCAGCACGATATTGGCAAGCATGGCGCAGGCGGACGGAGCAATAGTTAAGTGGGATGAAGTGAAGATCATAAGAACGGTGCACTCACCGTCTATAGCGATGGAAATGGAAAAAATAGAGATATACAAAAGTAAAATGAGGAACTGATGTTTAAATGAAAAGGATGCAAACACATTACCAACAGCATGGAAATACAAAATAGAAAAATGTATGGGTTTCAATAATCCATAAAATAGGAACTGGAGATTATAAGTTGTTATATTATGATTTAGATGCATGTAAAAATATGTTATTTAATTTTTGTAGCACTCATAGGGACATATTTTATTTATTTAAAAATTCAAATCAAAGTAAAATTCGAATGAATGGTTCCATTTTGGAACAATAACGGAAAACCTGAGGATGGCCTATCCAAATAGGCTGAAAACGTTTGAATAAAGAGAAAAAAACTCAGCAAGTAGAATTCAGCTGTGTTCATATATTATAATGCTTGAGTAAATTATTATAGCAAGGGAAATATCCATATACATAAAACCCTATTCGATATGCATAATAAAATACTTAACTATAAAGTATTGAAGTGCATTTAAAAATATTATTCCATAGAACTCAATTAAATTCTATATTTTAATTTTTAATTTTATAATATAATTGAGATGGGTTGATAATGATAATAAGCACAGAGCCCAAACAGTTAGGAGTTGAAAGTTGAAATTTGGTATACAGTTAGGGTATGTCATGAGAACGTAGACTAAGAAGGGATTTTTTGAAATTTCCCCCGTGGGGGAGAGGGACAGGATTAAGGCTTACTGTGAAGAACTCTGCTTCTATTATACTATTTTAGATGTGGTTTTTTGTGTTTTTCATTGCATTTTAATAGGGTATGCCGTGAGAATGCACATTAAGAAGGGATTTTTTGAAATTCCCACCGTGGGGGGAGAGGATTACCCCAAAGAACTTGGCTTCTACTGTACTATTTTAGATGCCTTTTTTGCATTTATGTGGAAAATCGAACATATTTTTAGACCCTTCTAAAAATTCTCAACGATATTTAGTGTTCCATTGTATATAAAGTTGACATGCAAAGCGCATGTGCACAGGTTTGCTTTATTTGAACTCTTTGTCTTAATGTTCGATTTTAAGCTTGAATTTATATTTATGAATGATTCTGGAAGATCCAGCTTATTTTTCAAATTTATTAAACCTGAAGAACCCAGGAAGAGTTACAAAAATGTTTATTATTCATCACTTAGCGGTACTACGCACCAGTTAGTGATTGTAGTGAGTCTTAATTATTGTTATCTCAGTGTGGTAAGCAGATATCTAAAAATTTTCTAATTAGTCTTTGAAGAGGGGGACCTAATTCTTGCACTCGGTGAAGATGGGTAAGATCGGTTATAATTTAATAATCTTAAACTTTCCTATTGTTACTTTTTGTCCAAGCAACACCTGGCTCATCTGCTAGTTTTGTAATAATCCAGTTAGCTCCTTTATTAGTTATTTTCTGATTAGATGATAATGACAAATACCAAATAACATATATATATATATATATATATAGTTAAAATTTGATTCCAAAAAACAAAAAAGAGTTTTGGAATACACATTCAATCACTGTAATTAATTTTTAATAAGCATTAATGATCAAAGACAAAATTATGCTATTTTTCAAAATAAATTTATTAGTAATTATAAAAAAACATAAGAACAGAATTTCTCAAGATTTTACTACAGTTAACTCTCAATATGGTGTTTAGCAGTAATCTTTTTTAGAACCCAGTTATACCAAAGAAAACATGATGTGTAAACATTGTCCATAATTAACAAACCACATCAGTCCTCAGTTAATGCAATCATTCTATCATCCTCATTTAAAGTTTATCTGTATTTAGAAATTAATTTAGATTCTATTAAACTGTTTATTATTTGATAAGTCAGAAACTATGATATTTTCCTTAGACACTCTTGCAGTAGCACAACTGCCACAACTGCCATTGTGAATGCTATAGATATCACTATTTTACTTCTCTTACAAATTACATGAATTATTTTAAATTTAAAATTTTTAAAATCAAACAATCAGAAATGAATAAATTATATTTAAAACATTTTTTAAGTTAGAATATTTATAATTCATTTTATTTGTAATTTTTATCACTTTATTTGATACAATGTATTCATTTTCATTCAGATCCAAATTTCAATTATGCGTAATTTTTTTGATTTTAGTAGGAAGTAGAGTTCATTGTGTGAAGTGTTATTACTAGTTTTTCTTTTTTCTAGTGCTTTCAATGAATATATTTTCGTTGTCTTCAGGCGAAAGAAAAAGTTTTATTTAGCCTGAAGATGACGAAAATATATTTGTTGAAAGCACTAGAAAAAAGAAAAACTAGTAATAACACTTCACACAGTGAACTCTACTTCCTACTTGGTGTGAGTTTCATACTAAATTATATTTTTTGATCTTAAACATTTAATAGAATTTTTTACTTAATATTTTTCTAGCATTCAGTTTAATGAAAATTTGATTTAAAAATTAATATTACAATCTGATCAAAGTTTTCCATAGTATTAATACTCAAACCTTTAAAATACAGTACAGTTTAATCTACACAGAAGTCCGACATGAATTTAAATTTTCATTGTTCTAAAATACAAATATTCAAAATCAACTTGTTCTGAAGGACATTTCAGCTTTCGTCCTTTTTAAATTGAAATATGTTTCTTTCTGTTCCAAAGATTATCATTTAAGACGACCAAAAATGTTAAAAAATAAAAATTAGTGTTGCAACGAATAGTATATTCGGCCTCAGGCCAAATACCGAATATTCAGCCAGGAGCATGGCCGAATATTCGGCCAAACTATTCGGCTTGATTAACGCACGTACGAAAATGTGCAAAGCACATTATGGCAAGGACCCTGCTCTCTATTGGCCCGCTGTCACTACACTTCGTCAATCACGTTAATTCTTGACAGTTGTAGCAGACAGACAGGAGCGTAATGGCAGTACTGTATGTGATAGATGATATCAAATGTGGATAACAATGAAATGACCTACACGTGTAAATAATGGAAAAAGAAGAGAGAAGGACCGCGAAGTGAAAATGTGAAAATAAATATGAAATTGAGTTGATAACATAATCGAACAAGTCGAGGCAGCTTATTGGCGCGAAATTTGCGGCCGTCAATGTCAAACAATTGTTGTCATAGACTTCGGAAAGCTAAATGTTTGTAACGAAAGAAACTTAGCGTGCATGGGCGAAAGCCTGGGGCCATTCGAGCTACCAAGCTGTCTTGAATCTGTAAAATCATAAATGTGACTTATACCGTCATCCTATCTGTCTCTTTTCTCCGTTATCACTAGGCTATGAGTCACGTAATTGTAAAATTGGAAATCTACGATGGAAAAGTGACAAATCGAAAGTATCATGAGCGTGTATTATGATGCATGCATACGTGGACTAGAGCGATAGAGGAAAGAGAAAGGGAAGAGCGCTTAAAAAGGATAGGCTAGGTCAGACCTCAGATGTGTAACGATTCTCACACAAATAAGTGTGTACGTCTGCTGATCTTTGTAATTATAAATTGCGAATACATGCGACTAATATTTTCTTTTTTATTTTGTGCATGTTATAAGTTATAAATAAATATAAACAAACAACACTAACCCGATAACATTAAATATAAATACTAAAATGATTAATTTACTGTGTTTTTGTTATTTCTTACTCCTGTTTTTAGGTATTCGGTATTCGCCGAATAGTGATTAAATATTCGGTATTCGGCCGAATAGTGAAAAATAGGCCGAATACCGAATAGTAACCGAATATTCGTTACATCACTAATAAAAATGCATTTTAAAGGTTTGAATAGTGTACCATGGCTTACGATAAATACAGTTTTCAGAGAACTGTTGATCAAGTTTGTCATTAAATATTATCATGTATCTGAAAATATTTATATAAGAAAAGTAAAAATGATTAACTTTTATATAAAAATTATTTTAAATATGACTTACTCTATCTCTATACAACAAATATGCATAACCAGCCATTGCACCAAGAATTCCAAAGTATAAAAATGAATTCTTTACTGTTGGTTTGAACTGATCATATACTGTAGCATTCATAGACATAAATCTTTGAACAGCTGGATCAAACTGAAAATAAAAAAAATACATTTTTTAAAATTTACAATTTGTCATATACACAAACAATAATGAAATTTATATTGACTTCTGGTAAATAAATCTGCAGGGATGTCATTTTGAGTCATCAAATGAGGAAGAAATAACAGGAGTCGTCATGGATGGTTGCACAGATGGTTTACAACAATGCTTCCAGAAACTGTACGAGCACCGACAAAAGTGTATTGTTGCTCAACAGGATTATTTTGAAGGCAGTTGTGTGTCAGTATTTTAAACTATTCAAGACAAGGCACCATAAGTCAAGTCCCAGAATTTTTGGATCCTATCTCATACTAAAGTTTAAAACTAAAGAAAATAATTTTTTTTGTGGTAGCAAGTCATATACTGTATAAGCTAAACTGCTGAATTTTTAAGCTTTATTATATTCATTTTAAAGTAATTATATTATGGAATTGGTTGGGCTTATTCATCCTATTCACTCAAAAATATTAATGTAAATGAAATCATATTAGCAAATATTGTTGAATGTTTATTATGTTAGATTTTCTTTGCCAGAACTTATTGACATCATGTTAAGCCTGTACTATCCTATCTGAGCAAAAAGATCAAAAACGTACTATGGATACAGAAGATTTTCTCCAAAGTTTTCCTTACATTCTTCTAGTTTGACTGAATACATATAAAAATTGTTTCTCTTAACTGCTTAATAGGAGAATCTTATATCCTATGTAATGGCAGTCAACTCTGCCGAGAGAATGTTATTTTTTGAAGAGCATAGAGAAGACACTAATATATTATTGCTTTGAAAGGTTTTTTGTGAATTTTTACAAAAATTATAACCCATACATTAAACAAGTTCATTTTATTTATTATGAGATGTCTATGCAGCATCAACTCTGTGCACTAAATATATGTCAGTAAGCAATATCATGTTGATAATATTTCACATCACAAACATTTATAGTCCCTATTATAAAATCATTAAATTTAAACACTTTTAGGATACCATTCTAATTTTTACTTTAAACTTTTGTTTTTTGCAAATCATTTAACACTGCTGGAAACAAGTCTTGGAGGATCATATGTGGTGGGGAACTGGCTCATGCCTATCAGGACATTCCAATTTTCAAAACGAGCATCGAGTGTCAAAACCAACAATTTGACATCACCGACGACGTTCCAACTTCGAGTACGAAGTGTTTAGTTCCCATAATTCCATTCTCGGCAAAATGGATTCTATTCAAATGTCATACCAATTACCCATAATTTGTCAGAAAGTGACAGTCGACGTATCTGTCGAGAGCCAAGCGTGTCGAGTCGGCGTCGACAACGACGCAACTTCAACGTCGAAAAAAGGAACGACTTTTACCGAACGTCGAGATCGGCATTGAAAATTGGAATGTCCCGTACGGATCAGATACGGCCCAGTGAGGAGGAATTTAGGATCCAGGATCCAGATATGACTCTGGTGAGGAACTATGGATCCAGATATGGCCTTGGTGTGGAACTGATGGACTCATGGCTAAAGATGTAGATATGGCTCTGATCTGGATCTGTAGTTTCTTCTGATGCTTTCGCTCCTGTACAGAATAATTCTGAACGAACGGAAAAGTAACATCTCGCACTTCAATTAATAATTTCATGGTATAATAAATTGATTGGCGTAAACACATTCTCCCTCACAGCAGCGATTACATATTTAAACGAACAAGACTTGGGTGTAATTTTTACCAATACTCCGCCAATGGGGCGATGAGGATCGGTAGCCTTCTTCATATATTCTCTTCGTAACTTGGCTTTTAATTCTGCCCTTTTTTTAATTCTCTCTTGCTCTGCTCGATCCTCGTAGATATGATCATTGGCCATCTTGGCATTAATACGGCAGCCGACGAGCACGTTTTATACCATAAGCCAAAAATTACGTTCAGAGTAAAAGGCAAAAACAATTTACGAGTACCAATTTTTAAATCGAGTTACAATTTATCGGTGATTAAAATTGAAGTAATGTTAGGAAATAATTAAAAAATTTTTTAAATGAATAAGATGCGGGATTGTTTCCTTTTCCTTTCCCGCTTAGCAACCAAAATGGCGGAAAGCTGTTCGGTTCATTTGTAAAACGTAATGTTATGTGCGATATGCAAGCCACGCATTGTCTCGATTATCGAATGGTCGATTAAAACATAGAAATTATTATCGAAACGGTGTTAAATACACGATGTCGAGACACATCTGTCAATAACGATGTCAAATCGTTGATCATCCAGACTTGTCAGATTACCTAAATGGATCAAAAGCGCACGCAGAATTTGGTGAGTATTCGTAAATATACGGAAAATTTCCTCAATATATTATAAGAACTGACTTAATATCGAAATTTTAATGTCATTTCAACGTTATGTATCAATATTTAATTGCAACGTTACATATAACACGCTTGTAATCAAAGTTATTATGGTATTTGTGAGAGAACCATGCTTAATAGTTCGTACTACACAGCAGATTAAAGTATGACTAATTTATATAATTTAAAAACTGGTTTGGTATCATTAAATTGTGTGTAACAATTATGTATTGTAAACATTGTGATGTGATCGGATCAAATAAAAATTATAAATTTAATACACTGTACAGTGGAGTATTATTGTGGAATTGGCACATGGCTATGGATTCGGATGTGACTGGTGAGGAATGACTCTTGGCTTTGGCCAGGAGTTACGGGTCCGTAGTTTTTTCTGATGCTTTCGGTCCCGTATGGGATAATTCGGAACAAACAAAAAATCCTGGAAAAGTAAATTTACATCTTATGTAATTTTACAAGATATTAGAATATATAATAGAAAAACTTATTTGCCTCGCCCTCCCTTTGCTTTCCATAATTTTTAGAAATTTACTAAATCAAATGTTCCAATCAATTGAATAGTCAATCGTATTTTATTTAGGTAAGTTAATTACTGATTTTGATATTTTTTTATAACATTATCATGTGGAGATTTTTCTGACATCTAAATATTGGAAACATTTCATTTTCTAATTGAATGATTGATATGGTTTATAAACAGAATCCAAACTAGAAATATTAGTACGTATTAAAAAAAATATGCTTTTTTGCCTCGGGTAGTATCCGAATCTATATTTCTTGGTAACTTGCCAAATGTTTAAATAATCTAAGTTACTAAAGAACATAAGCTCAAATTTCATTCGGATCAAAAACATTTTTTTTTATGAACGTGCGATTTTCACGCTAAGATTTATTCATTTATGTTTACAACTCCATAAACTTATAATTAACCAATCACAAACTACTTTTGGTATTTGAGAAATTATTTAAATACCAAAATAGTCTATAATCAATTATTTATTAACAATAAGCCATTTAGTTAGTATATGAATATATAACATAATTTAAATTAATTGTTTACAGTGTAAAGTTAAGTTTTAATGCACGATAAATATTATATATTCTTATGATTTATATGATTAAATATTGTGAATTTGAATTCCATTTAGAGAAGTTTTTTTAAATGAGCATGTGGTTTATTGGAAGCTATTTTAACTTATGTTGTTCAGTATAATATTGATTTCTATAATTTTCATAACTTAAATACTTACTAACAGTTAATCTAAACCCTTTTATTTAATTGAAGAAACTTTTAAGGCATGAATAAAAAACTTGCATTTATTTGAGCTGATGATAGAGCAAATGATTTAAAAACATGTTCAGTTAAATAAAAGAGAACTTAATTTAGCTGTTAGAAATTGAATTAAAAATTAGAATAATTTGAGAAGTTAAATATATTCATATAATAATATATCCGTTATTATTATTTATACAGTAGAGCGTTGATTATCCGAATCAATTGGGGACTGGGGTTCGGAAAATCGATTTTTCGGATAACCAATTATGTATGGAAAAATACATTATTAGTATAGTATATTAGTACAGTTGTACCTCAGGTTACGAACGCCCCAGCATACGAAATTTTCAGCATACGACATGAAATTCGAACATATTTTTGCTCCACGATACGAACAAAAACTCACCATACGACATTACATTAATTCGCATTTTTCATTTGTTTTCCTTACTACAGTTATTTTTTTAATGTATTACTTGGCTTTAATTTGAGTATGTTTTTCGCGTTGGAACGAATTATTTGGTTTTACATGTATGGGAAAAGATAATCCACCTTACGACATTTTCATGATACGATCTCAGTTTCAGAACGGATTAATTTCGTATCCTGAGGTACCACTGTATATCCCAATAATAGTATATTAATATATCCCATGTTTATATTTTTCTCTGTTGTGTGTTGCTTTGCGTTGAATTTTTGTCAATGTTAAGCCTAACGAAAATTTTTATAATAATAATCGTGGTTATTATTGTATCATTAAAAATTATTTCTTTACTTTGTACAAACAAAATAAATATATTGAAAAATATAAAAACAAAAAAGTTATATTTTGGAAGTTAATCTAGTATCAAAAACGCTCGATTCAGCACGACACAGTCCGACTGGAACGCTTTCGGTTAATCGACGTTTTGGTTGATCAGCATTCAATTAATTGACTCTAATGTAGTACATTAAAACAACTTCTTACAGTATTACTGGAATGTATACTTCACACTTGAAAACCTTAAGAGTCCAGTAATAACATATTAATGGAAAACTAAATCCACCCATGCCACAGACCCCGACATACAGGTGACCTCTATAAAGCCAAACTGATCGTATTGTCATATCGAATTGAACACCTTCTAAACCTTGAAGCATTAGAAATTTATAAAGCTGGCTTACATGGCAACTGTATTAACACAAATGATGCCATTAAGGTTTCCTATGCATGGAGGTACTGTTATGAAAAAATAGGCAACACCAGCAGTTAGCAACCTTTTTCTGTACCTTTATATCATATTGTTGTATTGATATAGTTCTATTGCCATGGTAACATACGTGGATAAAAGTTGTATACATGTACTTAGATTGTTCCATAGATTTTAAAATAATTTTTGAATGTGTTGTTTCATATGTTCCATAGGTTTTTTTTAAAATAATTTGTAAATATTGTTCTTTGCATTCCAAGTTCAAATCTTACTGGTTTTAAAAACCTGAGGAAGACCAGGGTACGGTTGAAAACGTTAGTTTTCCATTAATGTGTTATTACTGGACTCTTAAGGTTCTCGAGTGTGAAATATATATAGTAACAAACAAAATAAGAAAATATACCATATTTGCTTGAACGTAAGACACTTCTTTCCAGGTTTTAGTATCTTTGAAAATAGGGTTCATCTTAGATTCAATTTATACCACAATTAGTGACTTCTAGTGTCATGTATTTTATTTCTTTGTCACTAATTCCACTGAGTTATTTTAATGATTTTATTAGGCCAATATTCATAATAGTAAATGTTTATGAGGTCAACTTAGCTCAATTTTGTTAGTTTGTTACAGTAATGTTGTATTTGAATGAAAACCCTAGAAAAAATTATGCAGCACTCTTTCAAGAAATGTTGCATTTCTGATGTATTAAATGCTACTGAAAATGATTGCATATGGGAAGATGAGCATTATATCCAATGTTGATTCAGAAGAGTTTAACGTGGAAAGCAAAGATGTTTCTGACTTTGATTCCACGAAAGACACTTATATAGCATATTGTAGTGTGCAATAAATACTGAACAAATTTATGTGAACAAAATAAGTTCTCTTGACATAAATTTGTCTCACCCACGATTGCTGTAAATAATTAAATAATCGGGCTGTAATTGTCTATTTGTTCAAAAAAAAAAATCATCAGTAAACATGTAAAAATTAGATGCATCTTGGATTCAATAGCATCTTATAGTCGAGTAAATATGATATGTAATTTTAATTTTTAATGTTAAAGTGATAGTAATAATGATCACATACTGGATAAAAATTTGAAAAGTATATTCAGTTCTGATTTACCATAGTCTGGAAAAAAAATCAAATTTCTTTTTACATGATTTGTTTCTACCTAATATGTTTCAATAAATTTGCTTTTTTAAAATTCTCCATTTTATATTAATTTTAAGAAAAAATATTCATATTTTTAGAAAATGTTTTTTGTAAAAAGTTCTTAGAATTTTCATTTAATGCTGCTACATGCTCAAGTAAATTAAGATTTGATTGTTTTCATAACTTATTTGTACAGTTTCAGCAACAATCAGTCTTTCATTCTAGCTTATCTTTTAATTGAAGTATCAAAAAAAAAATCAAATTGATGTTTGACGATTTGTTTAATAGACAAATTATTTCACATCATATTATTAACTTAGCTTTATTAAAGTTTAATAATTTGGCAGATCATCTGGCTGTAATGAAAAATTGGGTTTGGGGAGTTGTTGTTTATATATTTTGATGTTTAATTTAAAATATATAAATTAAAATAAAATTTGTTAATAAATTAAATATCAAACTCAGCTTCTTTTAAAAACATTCAACACCTTATAACGCTGAGAAATATTTATTAACCCACAAATGTTTTCAGCCTAATGGAATAAGCCATCATCAGGTGATAAGTTATCGAACAACTTTGAAGATTGTGTTAAAATGGAACTTTCGAACATTACAAATTCAAAATTAAAACATAAAATAAATTAACCAATCACTATACAAAATAACTATAATAAATAGATTGAAGCCATATTAATATAAATAATAAAATAAGGCGATATAAAATTAAAAACAAAAATAAACCTAAAAGATTAAATGCACAAAAATGATTAAATTCATAAAAATATATATATCAAAAAGCATCACATTATAAAGGCAGATATGAACTAAGACTTTTTGTGCTTTAACTTTTCTTTTACAAAGAACTTCCATGCTGAAGCTAAACCATCAGCATCTCTTGCATTGATACAACCGTCCCTTAA